AGAAGAAGGAGGAGGAAGAAGGGGGGGAGGAGGAGGAGGAGGAGGAGGAGGAGGAGGAGGAGGAGGAGGAGGAGGAGGAGGAGGAGGAGGAGGAGGAGGAGGAGAGTCAAGTTAGGGACCAAGGGAAGAAACTTTCTTCTCCCCGGCTGCTCTGATGGAAAGTTTCTTGAAGCCCTTGAAATCTTGGTGGGGGAGGGACAATCCCAGAGGATGTGAGAAAAGGGAGGGAGAACTGGGGTGAACTTTGAGGAAAGGTGACTTGGGAGAAACCGGTGAGATCCGAAATTTTCCCGGAGAAGTCGAGGAGTTCAAAGGCCACGCTGACTGAGGCCCTGGTGCGAGGGGCCGCCTGCCCGCGCTGCCTGGGCTGGGGCTGCTGTTCGGCCTCCCCTGTCCCGCCTCTCCTCCAGTCACCCTTCACCCACCCCAGAGTCAGCCTGGGCTCTTGTTCTCAGCCTGACTCCTGCTTCCTCCGCGCTCCCTTGGGCTGTAGAGGCGCCTAGGAGTCCTTTCTCAGCCTCTGACCACAGCCCTCCGCAGACCAGACGCAGTTGCCCAGACCTCGCGGGCCCCAAGCCAGTCCCTCTTCTGGGAAGCCTCAAACACGGCCCACTGACTCCCCCTCCCCCGTTCTGTTCCTCCACCCCAACCCCCACCCCAGGCCAGAGAGACTCCCCTTCCAGGGTCCACCTTCCACCCTGCTTCAAACCCACTTCATAGGTCGTTGTTTAACCTGGCTTGGGTCCTGCTCACACACCCACTCTCAGATGGGGGGAAGAACAGGTGTCTCCCACTCACAAGGACTCCGCTGGCCCCTTCCCAGAAACAACCCACCCTGACACTGGGCCTTGCTGGCTCCTGGGGATTGGGGGTGGGGGTGGGGTACCTGGGTCTCCACTTCAGACTCTACTCATGGCAGGAACCAGAACCACTAGAATCCCTGAGGCCTAGTTTGTCCTAGGGGCTAGTGAAGACAGAAAGACCCCCAGAACTAGAGGAAGTGGGGGGAGGGGCGTGAAGGCCCTACACAGGCCCCAGGTAGATGAAGACTTCAAAACGTGGAGGCTGAGTCAACAGCTCACCTCAGCCTAGCTGAGAGGGGCTGGAGGATGCTGAGGACTCCCAAGGTCCATCCGGTCACTTTACAGATGCTTCTGCCATTTCAGGTCCCAAAGCCTCCTTCCCTTCCTCCCTGCCCAGCTGCCTGGCCCGGGCACTGGGCCAAGGGAGGGGACTGGCCCCTCCCTGCACCAAGGGTCCCACAGGCACTCTGCGCTTGCGCCAAGAGTTTATCAGTGCCCCAGTGCCTGCCTCCCAGCCGACTAGGGGGGTCTGGAGGGCCTGGCTGAGATCCGGAGAACCCAGGCCTCTCTCAACCCCAATGGGCCTGCAGCTGGGGGACTCGGGGCTGGGGAGGGAGGGCCGGTCCGCAAAGCAGCGTCCCCAACCCTTCCCTCGCCTCGCCTCCTCCGTGGGCTGCCTCTGCCTGCTCCCTCCCCGGTCTGGGGGGACCTGAGAGGCCTTCTCCCCACCCCCCTGAGTGAGAGGGAACTGACTGCCACCCTGGGGAGGGGGTTAGGTAAAGGGAGAATGGGTCAGAGCGAGAGAAATTAACTTACAGCGTTCGCCTGGGATTCATTTGCGAAGATGTAACCTCTCTCACCATCCTCCCCAGCGCCGTAATCCCCTCTAACTGCCAGGCCCTCTGTCCTAGCATTAAACCTCACCAGCAGCTGCGTGGCTGGACAGTTAAGATTATATATGATGTAAATATATTGTGGGTTTGTCAGCTCTCCCTACACCATAAAACTTGGTTTAATGACATCACGTGGTCCCCCAAGAGCCACTCACGGGCTTGCCTTCGGGCCATTCACATAAATAACCTCCAAAAGTTTCAAACTCCTAAATCCACATAGAAGCCGGGCCTATTTCTCTAATGCTCTGTTACACTAAAAAGCCCTGAGCCGCTCCCCTGCCCCACCCCCACGGGCTGGGGAGGGGGAAGAGGGTGGATCCCTGTTTATTTATTTACTTACTTATTTCCAGAAGGACCTGTCGCCTTCCTCCTTCTAGTTTGGTTTTCCTCCTCTCTCCTCTAATTGCTCAGAATGGGCCGTGTTCCCCTCTCCCTACTCCCCCGGAAGGTAAGTCCCGCTTCTCCCCTTGTTGTTTTTCCTCCATGCCAGAGCGGGTGGGTTTCAGGCAGAGTGGAGAGGCAGGCCCCAGGGAAGGACCCAGGAGCACCCCACTCTCCACTCAGCCCAGCCCAGAACAATGCTGAGCCCTGGTGCTTGGAGAAGGTTGCAGGAGGATGGCTGCTCGGGGAAGCCCCCCAGAAGCCAAAGCAGGAGTTCCTGCTGAGGGGGCGATGCCGGGCTGTGGGCTGTCCCCAGGCCCAGTGCCCAGTAGGTCTGAGGTCTCAGGCTAGATGGGGGGCCCCCATGTCCGCAGCTGACGCAGGGGCAGGCGTGCAGTGGGGAGCCCAGGCAGGGGGCTGGGAGGATGCTCCCCCATGCCTGGTCCACCTGACTACAGTCCCCTCCAGGCAAAGAGCGGCCTGAGGAAGCAGCCAGTGCCCCAGGGGCCCGAGTTCCTCTCCCTGAGGTCCAAGCTGCAGTGAGCCCACTCCTGGCAGGGTCCGTCTGTGGTTCTCCTGGGGTGGGTGCGTGCCCGGAAGGGAAGCTCAGGGCGAGGACGGGCGCCATGGCCTCTTTCTTAGTTAACTGTTACCCATCGGAGACGCCAGCACTTCTCCACGCTTCACCGCTCTCCCAATAGTTTTACTCAGCATGGAGAAAAAATTAAAATAACTCCCTGAAGAAAATTACACATTTTATTTGAGAGATGGGGGAGGAGAGGAGGGGAGAGAGAGGGAGGGAGGGAGGGAGAGGGCAGGAAATCAGCTGAGGTTGAACTGCTACTGGGGTGTCCAGGAGCGTATCAGCACTGGAACAGGGAACCTCCTCCTGGCTTGACCTTGAAGCGAAAGGGTGCTAGCCAGGGCTCCCTTGCAAGGTGCATTTGTGGAGACCCCCTGTGTGCCCGAGGAGGTGTGAGGCATGGGCTGAGGAAAGGTTCACAGAGCTTTGAGAAGATGACAGGCCAGTAGCTGAGGGAGTGGGATGCAGAAAAGTCAGTTCTTATCATAAATCCAAGGAGCAGCAGTATTAATAATCATAAATATTCCCCGTGCCCCTCCCCAGAGCCTCTCTGCTCCCAGAGCCCAGCTCCTGAACCTTCTCCCCCCCTCCACCAGTGTGGGGGGCCGAGGCTTGGCTCCAGGAAATCACCCCATTGTGGGAGGCCCGAGAGGAAATGCAGTAAAGTTTTATGGACCCTCCCCACATTTGTCTCTCCTATAAAGTACTTCCTCCCCCATCCCATCCCAGAAGCCTGGGGCAGAACAGAGCCTGGGCCTAGGCCAGCCTCAGGCACCACCAGAATCATCTGCCTCCCTCTCACCCCCACCACACACACACACACACACACACACACACACACAATCTCAGAGACTGAGATAAATGATGGCAGACAGACATCACTGATTCAGGCACTGGTCTATGCAGCTCCTTTCCCAGATAATTGTCCCAGCATAGCCCCCAGCCCTGATAAGTGGAGGGACAGTCTGAACACTCCTGCTAGCAGGTACACAATGCAGATGGCCCCCCTCTCCAGAGCCCTCGCCCCACTGTCACTGGAAGCTGTCACCCACCTCCAGCTCCCTGGCATCACCTTCCCGAGCAGAGCAGTAGCAATACTTCGCTTCAGCCCTCCCTTGCAGTCCAGGTCCAGCGAGGCCCCTCAGGACGTGAAAGGGACCCTGGGAGGGAGACACTCCTCAGAGGCCCAGAGGGCCCCAATCTCAGCACCTGGGGAGCTCGAGAGATCTGGCACAAAGCGGGGCAGCTGCCAATCTGGAGGCCTCAGACAGAGCCAGAGTGTGCCTGGGCTGAGTGTGGAGGGCCTGAGAGAAACCAGGAGGAAGGGCCTGGGTTCTCCCTGCCACCATCACCCTTCCCGGGATCCCAGAGCAATGCTGTTTCATCTCCGTCTTCCCAAACATCCCTAGAAGCTCCTAAAATTGTCGTTCAGGCCAGGCGGAAAGGCTGCAGACCCCCGGCCCCGATTGCCCCCGAACACTTCCACCCAGTCCGGGCCTCCCACAGAGAGTAGCCGCTGCATCTGTGTCCTGGTGGCTCTTTTGTCTTTATTTGATATGACAAAATATAGTTTCAGGAAAGACCCGGAGGCAATAAATAGTTAGATAACAGCGAGGGGGCAGGAGGGCAGAAGGGTGGCAGGACTGCTGGGCAGGCAGGAGCCTCTAGGATGCTTGTTGGGGTCCGCTGGCAGGGAACCCCAGTAGCTGAGCCAGCTAGTGGTCTGAGGTCGGGACCTACCCAGAGGGCATGCAGAGGGTTTTGGCTGGAGAGATTCCCGGGCTTTGTGGGCTGAGGAAGGAGGTTTGGAGGGCGCAGGGCAACGGAGGGGGCCCTAGGCAGAGGTCCAGTGGTCTCCCCCTTTTATATGTAAATCACTCAAAAATTAAGATCAAGTTTAGTCGCTACCCACCACGGAGCACCCCGAATCCTGCGCCGGACTCCACCAAGCACAACCATTCCATCGCCAGCCCCGCCAGAAACAAAGGAGCGGGCAAGGCCCGAGGGTTGGGGTGCGGGCCTGCGGCTCCCCAAGGCCCCCTTCAGCTCCGGGACAGTCGTCCTGGGGCTGTGAGTCCCAGGCGGGTTCGCTCCTCAGGGCTCTGGGGAACCCCAGTGGAGCGGGCCCTGGGACCCCGGTGCTGAGCTGAACCGAGGGGAGGGTGGCGCCGGCAGCCCCGCGGGAACCGGGGTCAGTGGTGATGCCCAGGGAACGCGCTTTTGTCAGCGAAGCTGGTAGCCGCGACTGGAGGGGGGTCCCCCGCCCGCCCCTGCCCCCCAACAGACCCCGAATCGAGAGAGAGGAAGGAGGAGGGAGGGAAGGCGCGGGACGAAGCGGGCTCGGGGTGCGCTCTGCGGGCCTCCCGGCCGCCTCTAGAGAGCCTCTTTGCTTTTCATTTTGGAATCTTTCTTCCACTTCATCCTGCGGTTCTGGAACCAGATCTTGATCTGTCTCTCGTTGAGACACAAGTTGTTGGCGATCTCTATGCGCCTGCGGCGGGTGAGGTAGCGGTTAAAGTGGAATTCTTTTTCCAGTTCCAGAGTCTGGTAGCGCGTGTAACTGGTTCGGGACCGCTTGCCGTCCGTCTCTGGAACATAAACCCCCCCGGCCCGGCAGGGTGAATGGCGGGGGGCGCCCCGGTGCCCGCCCCGCCAGCCCGCCCCGGCCCCGCGCGCGGCCGCAGGGCGCGGGCAGGCCCGGGCGAGGCGCCGCCGCCAGGCTGCCAACTTTCCGCCGCGGCCTGCGCGGGGCGGCCGGCCGCGGGGGCAGAGGGAGACCCGGGCTCGGACCGGACGCCGAGCACCCTCGAGCTCGGGCACCGGGGCCCCCGCCCGCCCCGCCCGGGCCTCGGGACGCCCCGGAGGGAGCGGCCGGGCGGGCGCGGGCGCGCAGGAGCGCAGGGGCGCAGGAGGGAGGGCCGCGCGGGGCATCCCCGCGCCCGGCCCCGCGCCGGCGCGCCCTCCGGATCCCTCTATTTTTTTAACTCCCGCCCTCTCCCCCCAAAATTGAATATTGCCTTTTATACACGTTTTGTTCCTATGATCCAATTATGTCGTCGTAAATTTGGGCGCACACAGCCTCTAAGCCTTTTAGTGGACAGTTTTACGAGCCATTGATGCCTGGATCGTAAAATTTATGGCCGCGGGTTTTTTTGCTTTATTTGCCCCGCATGGCCTATAAAACCCAGGCGGACCCGAGCGCGCGAAATGAAGTCCTAAAGTTTACCGTGGCTCATGTGCAGTTTGGTCATCCACGGGTAAATCTGTGGCGGGGCCGGCGGCTGGCTCCGGGCGGCGGGCGGCCCGGGCGGCGCCCGCTCCGCTTTGACGTCCCCCGCGCGCGGGGCTCGCTGCTCCGGCGCCCGGCGAGCCGCCTCCTGGCCGTGCGTCCCGGGGAGCGCAGGAGCCGCTTCGTCCCTGCCCAGGGCGCGTCCCGGCGCGGCGGCGGCGCTGCAGGCGGGCCGGTCGGGGGCAGCCCGGGGCTTGGCTGCCATGTCCGGCCCGCGGAGCGAGCTGGAGGGCGCCGGCGGCGGGGGGAAAGTGACGCTTAGGTCCAATCCGCCGAAGCAGCACCTGGACGCCGGCACCTCGGAGGCCGATGCATAGTTCCCACAAGTTTGCATGGCATAGGCCGGGGGGTTGGGGCTCTGCTTATAGAACGAGTTGGCTACGTAGGAGCTCATGGCGGGGAGGGCCCACGGAAAAAATTCTCTGCACCCTTTTTGACGAAGGGTGATTTGTGACTCTTTGAAGTTGGGGGTTTTTGTTCTCCAAAGTGCACAATTTATAGGTGGAGATATCTCTTTCTTTATCCTATGCGCGCTTCCCAAATAAGGGAGCCTTAAATAGGGTCACGTGACGCCAGCGGCCACTCATAAATTTGGCTTGATGACCTCCGGGAGGTTAGTGATGGAAGCCGGCGAAACGCATCTTGATATGTTGGCAAAGCCCAACCGAGGGGGAGCGAGCGAGCGGAGCGCGAGGGAAGGGGGAGAAAAAGGGGCTTGGAATTGGGGGGCAGTCGGGACAACGAGCCCACAGCGACACCTGGTGTCCCTTCGGCGGCACTGCGCCCCGGCGGCCGGCCCGCCTTCCGGCTGCGGAATCTTCTGCCCTGCGGAGCAGCTGATTCTGGCAACCGGCGTCGGGAACGTCTTTTTAGAGCGCGTGTGACTCCGGGGCGGGATGGAGCCTCTCCTAGGAGCCGCAGAAAGCGGGGGTGGGTACTAGGTTAGACTCCCCTTCGCCGCCCCGGGATTTTCTGATCTTCCCAAGCGGCAGAGGGCAGGGGATTTCTCGAGGGTGGCCCCTGCCCAAGCCAGAGATCAGAGAGCGCTTATCTGGGGTTTCCTAAACAGTCTGGAGCGCCTCCTCCTTGGAGGCCTCCGTGTCCTGCTACTTACTGCTCTGAGTTGCCTGCCAGCTTGGGGAAGTGGGCCCAGCCTCTAGAGGCAGACAGGATGCTCAGGAAGGGTCCTGGTGAGTCGAGATAAGGGCGACCCTGAGGCTGAGCGGGCAGGGGGCTCTGGGCTGAGCCTGGAGGTGAGGAGAAAGGAGTCGTTGGATCGGTCTCCTTACCATGCCACGGGGACCACTGATGCACTTTGCCTGTACGTATAAGCCAGACACGACACCATTGACTGGAAGACTGCAGCACACTCTCAATATGACTCTTAGGTGCTACTTCTGTCAGATATTTTAAATAGAAAATGAATGTTAATTGAGGACCAGGGCAAGCAGGGCTAAATTCCCCACAAATGTTAGGTGAGCTGGGGAAGAGGCAAAGGTCTGTTGCGTGCCCTGTGGCAGAGAGGCCTCCCAGAGTCCTGGACCCAGAAAGTCCACAGGAAAAGGCAACTTCTGAGCTATCATCTGCAGGCACGAGAGGACCTGGCTGGGGGCGGGGTGGGGGAGGGGCAGGCGCCGGGCCACCTTCACAACCTGGGTCCTGGGGTCTCCGCAGGCCGCCAGGCCCCCTCCCTGCCTCCTGCTCCTAGCTCTCAGTCTTATTTATTCCTGCCTGCCTCTCCCCAGGAAATCTCCGCCCCTCCTTCAGGCCCCCTGCTAGCTGGAGGCGCTGGAGGGGGGCGCTGGAGGGGATCTGGAAGGCCTGGAAAGCTCGGGCGGCCTCTCCCGCGACCCCCTCCGGGAGACGCTCTCACTCCCTCACCCCCCAGGTCCACTCAGGTTTCTCAGAGTGGGCTCAGGGAGAGAGAGAAGGCCGGAGTTGGGGCAGGGTGAGGGTCTGGCTGAGCTCCTCGCGGAGAAGGAAGACGCAGGGGCCGGCCTGGGGCTGGGGCTGGGACTGCGAGGCCGCGGGAATTCTGGCCGGGCCAGCCAGGAGTAGGGCGGACGCGCGGGCCGCTGGCTTTCTGTTTCCAGCTGCCCGTGAGTCGCGCGGGCCGGGCCGCGGGGCTCGGGTCCCGCGCGCTTCTCCGGCCTGGGCTCCCGCCTCCGCCGCGCCTGGCAAGCGCCGGCCGGCCGCAGGTGGGGGCTGCTCGCCCGCGCCCCCTCCTCGCTCCGGGAGGGGTGGGGGGCTGGGGCCCGACAGGACGCCTCTCCTCTGGCCTGCGGGGGCCCGGGGCGCAGAAGCCGAGGCCCCCGACAGCCACAGGCAGAAGACGGGCCTGTCCGGGGCCGGAGCCCGGTCGGGGCCGGCCCGGCTTCCCCCTCACCCCAGCCAACCCCGGGCGGCCTCTTTGGCGGGGCGAGCGCCTCTCGGCACAGGGGGCCCACCCGGGCCTCCCAGCCCCCCAGCGCGGCCGCCGGGAGAGAGGGGAGGCCGGGGCTCGGCGCCCGGCCCGGGGCGCGCAGGCAGACGCGGGGGCGCGCGGGGCCGGCTCCATCTCTCGCCCCCGCCGCCGGGCGAGCGAAAGCACAGAAACCCCTTGTCAACTTTTAAAAATAATATCAGTTTTATTAAATATTCGAGAACGGATCCAGAGGTCGGATTTATACAGGAGGATAACACGAAGGGATTTTTTTTTAATTTATTTTTTTTCCCCTACTGGCTAAACAAACGTCATTCACTTTTTTTTCTTTCTTTTTTTTTTTTGTAATTTTCCCTCTTTTTTTTTTCCTTTTCAAGATGGGATCGGAACAGGGACGGTGCTAAACATAAATATAAATACAGAGACCACAAATACAGCTAAAAATATTCACACAGAGACGGTCACAGTTTGTAATATGCCATAATGACCCCCAGGCTTCTTAAATACAATTTGCCCGGGCTGGGCATTTGCTGGGGCGGTGGGGCGGAGGGACTGCGGGGAGGCCCTGGAAGGGGGTCTGGGGGGGCCCACGCGCCCTTCTCGGGCCTCCCTCCCGCCCCAGCTGCCAGGCCGGGCCCTGAGGCCCCGGAGCTCAGGCCCGGGACCCCCGGGGCCGCTTTCTGCGCGGGGGCGGGGGGTGGGGGGCGCCGAGGGGGGGCGAGGCCAAGTCCTCCCGCGGGGGGAGATCTGTGGGAGCTAAAGCGAGGTCCAGGGACCCAGCCCCCCCAGGCCTGGGCAGGGGAAGGGCCTGCGGACAAGCCGAGAAGGAGCTAGCGAGGGGGCTTGGAGGAGGAGGAGGAGGAGGCGCGCAGTGAGAGTTTGTGCGGAGGGAGGGGTCCAGAGTCGACTTTAGGTCCGGATCGGCCTCCCCAGTTTGGGTTCTGGGGAGTCGAGACGCATCAGTTGTGCCAGTGACGAATACTGAGTGTGAGACTGGGAGGGAGCCCGCAGCAGGCGCGAGGGGCGGCGGGCCGGCCCGGTCACTCCTTCTGCTTCTCCTCTTCTGTCTCTTCCCGCTTCTCCTCTTTGCCGCCCAGGCTGTCGGCCGCGGCCCCGCCGCCGCCCCCCGAGAGCGTGGACGTGAGGTTGGACTCCTTTTTCCACTTCATGCGGCGGTTCTGGAACCAGATCTTGATCTGCCGCTCGGTCAGGCAGAGCGCGTTGGCGATCTCGATGCGCCGGCGCCGCGTTAGGTAGCGGTTGAAGTGGAATTCCTTCTCCAGTTCCAGCGTCTGGTAGCGCGAGTAGATCTGGCGGCCGCGCCTCCGGTCCGCTCCGTAGCCGACCCCTGGAGACCCGGGCACAAGACACACGCAAGACCGTCAGCCGGGCGCCCTGCCCCGCACCCCTGCGCCCCGCGCGGCCCTCGCCCCCCCACCGGCCGGCGGCGGCCGCGGCGCGCCGGGCCGGCCCGCCCCACCCCCACCGGGGTCCAGCCTGGATCCCAACTTCACCCAGCCCCCCTGCGCCCCCCTGACTGCTGCGCGTCCCCAGGGTGTGGGGGCCGAGAGCCAGCACTGGGCAGAGAGCTGCAGGTCCAAGTGCTGCAGCCTGGAGAACAAAAAAATCCCGCCCCGGGGTGGAAGACCCCACTGCCCTGGCACTGGGCTCCCCCAGCACCCGGGCTCCTGGGAAAGTTCTCCCCAGCCTCGGCCCCCCTCGCCCCCGCCCTTCCCCCAGCCTGACTTGACTTTGGGGGGCTCCCCTCCCCTCCCGCCCTGGGCCCCTGCCCTGTTCCTGCCCCCTCCGCTCGCCCCCGGCCCTCCAGCGCGCCGGGGGCGCGGGGCCAGGCCCCTGCGAGTGGGAGGCGAGCAGAGGGGGCAGGAGAGGGGCCCTGTCTCGGCGTCGGCGAGGAGACGAGCGTGATTGTTTTTATGGGGCCATAAAAAACTCTCTCCGCCCGTTCTTCTAGGGAAGCCGGTCATAAAGCCAGTTCAGTTTATTTAATTTATATCTCGGAGCTGTAAAACTCACCACTGTGCGAATTCATTCGCTGCATCCAGGGGTAAATCTGGATACTGGCTTTCTGGTCCTGGGGCGCAGTCCTGCCCTGCTCAGAACTAAAATCCTGAGCGATTGAGGTCTGTGTGTTAGGTCCTAGGGTGCTTTGCCTGCAGTTTGAGAGCATGTCTTTCTCCTGGTAAAAGGAATTAGATCCATAGTCATACGGCCCCCGGCTGGAGCTGAACACGACATTCTCCTGTGGCGAGTAAAAGGGAGTCGAGTAGATCCGGTTCTGGGCAACGGCCGCTCCATAGGTCGAGAAGTGCCTCACTGGATCATAGGCGGTGGAATTGAGGGCGACGTTGGGGAGGACGTCCTGGCCCCCGGCGAGGTGGCAGGATAAGGAAGGGTTAGTGAAGTAGGAATTCATCCCTGTGCCTTTACCTGGTCGGGCTATGATTTCTTTAATATTTATTTCTGTCTCCAGTTTGTACTCGGAACTAGATGGTTATAGGGACGGCTCCAATCCAGGACAGACAAAATGACAAAGTCAGCTGACCCCCTTCCAGCCAATCGCAAGCCAGATGTCAAGAAGGGGGAAAAAAATCGCTTCTGCTTCTGTTGATTCCCTAGTTGAGACTAAGTGTGTGCTTTGAAAGTAAGACTTGGGTTTCTGTCTTAAATATCTGCGTCGAGGAACTGGGTGCGGGGTGGAGGGAAGGTGCTTGTCCCAGACCCGGGCGCTGAGACCACGCGGAGGAGAGTTGCACTCCCAGGAAATCTCTCAGCTCCAGCTAACTTTGCAGTGCTGTGGCCCGAGCCAGCGCTGGAGAGAGCCCTGCATTTTTTTTTTTCTGTTTGATTTCATCTTTAGAGATCTGCTTCCTTCTAAAATTACATCCCGAGTTCTCCATGGGAGGAGCTCCCTCCCAGCTCAGGGGGGATCCCCAGAAATCCGGCAGGAAATCCTGGTTTGACACTTCATGGCGTGAGTCCTCAATACCAAGCCAGCATACATATATTTTCAAGCATTTTTCAAGCAAAAAGAAATGGAATAAAGCATGTGTCCAGAGGAAGGAGAGTCTGTCTGAGAGTCTTGGGGGTAGGGATTTGGGGGGCGCTGGGGGAGAAACTAGGTAGAAAAGGATCAAGGCACAGAGGCCACGCACCAGCCCTCCTCTTCCTCCTCGCCCCCCTCTGCTTCCTCAGGACCCCCCCTTTTACTGGGGAAACTGGCAACATTTTTGCCTGCAGTGGAAAATGTAGAAAAACACAAAAGAAAGGGGAGAGGAAGAAGTACGAGGTGGAAGAGAGAGAGAGAGAGAGAGAAAGAGAGAGAGAGAGAAAGGAAGAGAGCAAGAAGAAAGAACTCGGAGAGTCTTTCTAGACACATCAACTCCTGTTTATGTTGGTGAGAATTTATGATTTGGAGCTAGGGAGGGCCGGTGGGGTAATTCATGAGGATCCAGCCAGAAAGAGCAGGCTGGTGGGGCTCTGGTGGACATTTGCGTCTTGCAGGCTTAAGCCCTGCACAGGTCAGAAACCCCTGGCCCCCTTCCGGAGTCTCTGCCCTGCTGAAGGAGACGCTCGCCTGCCTCTCTCGACCTGGGTGCTGGGGCTTGAAGATTGCAGCCAAGGGCTCCCAGCCAAAGGACCACCACACCTGGGGGGCTGGGCCTGGTAGCAACCCCCACCCCCATTTCCTTTGCCTTTGGGGCTGAGGGAAAGGGAAGGAGAAGGCTAGAAAAGGCAGCTGAGTCCGAGGCTGTGGAGGGAGCCCCAGAGGAAGGGGCGGGCTGAGAAGGCGAAGGTGTGTGGATGGGGCTTTTCTCCGGATGAATCCAAACTTCATTTGGTATCGTGACATGAACCGAAAATGCTTTCAGCTGACAAAGAGGAGGCCAGGCCGTGAGGCCAGCAAAGAGAGCAATGAAAGCTCAGACTTTCCCCTTCACCATTTTTTGGGGGGGACTGGCTATAACAAGAACCCGGATGTCATCTCTGGATTTTATGATCTTTTCCTTCTGTGTAACAAAGCGGAGTAATCAATGGGTGGCAATAAAGCCATAAACGGGACTACACTGGGAAAAAACTCGTTTATTCATCTTCTGTAACGTTAAGGCTTCCCTGGAGTGTCGTAGGGGGGAAAAATAAAGTTTCGAACCCCAAAGCAGACAGTGCATAGGGATGGGTGAAGACGGCCAACGTGTGTTAGTTAATCCATGGACCTCGTGGACTGAGGAGTCTTTCTGCCGGAAAATCTGTGTTGGCTTTTGAAAGTACACCCCCAAGCCCAATCTTACGGAAAGGAAAGCAGGGAGATCTGTTGTGCTGAGGAGGGTTAGGGCAGAGACCCTTGTAATGATAAGAAAGGTCCAGACTTCTCCCAGAGGGGAAGAAGGTGAAAGGGGAGAGGGGGCTTCCTCAATTAAAAAATACATTTCAAGATGTTCTCTCATCTGGGGGTGGGTTGGCAGGTACACAAGCAGACCCCAGTGTGAGTTGCTTTCTGCCCCAGAATCCAGCTGCCCCAGAATCCATGGCATGCCTGGACAGGGGTTCCCAACAGCTGCCTGGGGCTCCAGGCCCCCTGGAGGGAGAGGGAACTAGGAGGAAGACCCAGGGGGCTGAGCTAAGAGGCAAGTCAGCGCACCCCTGGACACCAGTGGCAGCTCTGAGCTCCCGCCCCACTTCTGCCCCCAGGGGAGGTGTATCCAGTAGAACAGGCCTGAAGAGAAAGTAAATTTCACCCCCTCCTCACCCCCATTTCAGAGGGAGAAGGCTGAGGGATAAATCATGTCAGAGATATTTCCTTCCAGATATTAAATTGTTACAATGTACAACAAATTGAATGATGGAAGATAGGGTGTCTTAATGAGGTTTCGCTTTCAATGAGTGTTGATTTTCTATGTATTTTTAAACTTTTTTTTAATGGGTGGGCGGGGGGGGAGGGGGGGGGAGGACAGACCTGGGAAGAATGGAGGTTCTGGAGAAGCATGTGTTGCAGCTCCCCTGTAAGGATGCCTGGGCTCCTTGGAACTCCTTTTGAACCCAGACCACAGAGGAAGAGGCCCCCAACTTTGGGGAGTCTCATTTGGGGGCCTCGAGATGGTGGGCGCGGGGGTGGGCAACCTGAGGAGTGGAATGTAGCTCTCAGCCCCTGAAAGTGAAGTGTTTTATGACGCCCCTAAACAGAGGGCAGAGACTGAAAGGTCTCGCCGATTTATAATGAACAGAAACCAGCTGCTGGGGGAAAAAGGCAGAAATGCTGGAAGGGGGCACCGAAAAGGGAAGCAGAAAGACAAAAAAATTCCCCCACTGCTTACAGACTTGCCACAGGATTCGTTTCGAACACACTCTCCACCCCCCCTCACCTTCCATTCCTGAGGAGAGCAGTCTCCTCTTTTCTGTGAGATCTTTAATTATGCAGCTGAAATTTGCTGCCAGGATTCGCTCCAAGGGGGTGAGCATGTCAGATGAGCGGAACTTCCCTGCACTGGATTCCATTTTCCTATTTTCCTTTTCCCATTTCACGTTAATTGGGGGGGGGGGGGCAGGGAAGAATGACTGTCGAAGGGGGAGAAGCCGGGACTTGTTTTTTAAAAAATGTATTTCTATTTTCCTGTTAAATTTGTCTGAAAACAATTATGGAAACTCATCAGCAGAAGCCAGAACAGATGTTTTATTAAATCTGCAGTTGGGCTCTTGTAAATATGCACAAGTGCGGGTGGGGGGAGGTGGGGGAGAGAACTTGTCTTTGTTTCTATTCAACAAGCCTAGAGAAATCAGAGAACACCCCCCCATCAGGCCGGCTGGTCTCGGAGTTGCTCCAGGAGCAGGCATTCAGAGGGATTGGCGGCCAGAGCCGGTTTTTGCTCTCAGAGCTGTAATTAGTGCCTGCGAGATACAGAATTCTCAAAACACAGAAAAGGAATGAAGGGGGAAAGTGGCCGCCGTCTCCCCTCCAATCCCAAACACATGCTTTTCATGAGCACTAATTAGAGGAGAGGAACTTACTGCAGGCGCCATGGGCCTGCGTGGGGTCAATCACTGGCCTGGAGTCCCAAAGCTGAGGGGACTTGGAGGGTGGGCACCGGGGGTTCCCCCTGGGGGGTGGGCCAGGCCCAACACTGCCTTGCCTGGTTCCAGGCCAGGGGTGAGGGCCAGTCCTGGAGCGGCGGACTGGGGAAGGACTCTGACCCTGGAGGGGGCTGTGGGCAGGCCTCACCTTGCCTGGCTTTACTTTCCACCCTGCGAGGGGAAACCTCTTTGCGTGGGGGAGGTTATCTGACGTTGACGAGAGGAGATCTGGAATTTTTATAATTCGCCGGTCATCTGTACCAGAGGTCCTACTCAGTTTGTGTCCTGCCGGTCTCCTCTTTCCCCAGACCCTGCACCTCTGCGGATGCCTGTGAGTGACTCACCCGGCCTCCAGTACAGATACACACCATGCCTGGCTGCCGGCGCCACCAACTACAGCTCGGCGCCTCCGGAGGCTGCTCCGGACCGGACACTGGGGCGGCAGGACTCCGTGCTCGGCCTGGGCTCTGGCTGGTTTGGGAGCCCCTGCAGCTGCCTACTCCCTTTCCCTCCCAATTCTTGCTTTCCAGGGCGGGAGGGGAAGGCTTGCCCCACCGGCTCGGCTCCTTTTGTGCCACTGGGTGAGAGTTGAAATCCCTCTTGCAGAGAAAGTGGAGTTTCCATAATCGTCTCCGTTCACCTCACAATTGCAATGTTTGGTTAAGGCTTTGCTGATCCTGTGGCAGAGCAACTGCTCAGTGGGCCTGGCTGGCTTATGATTAGATTTTTTTTTTTAAGTTAGAAACAATTTAAATCCTAACTCCTATCCTATGCCTTGCATTCTGTGTTTTGTGTACAAGTTCCTTTAATCTCAGAAGCCAGAGCAGGAGGGTTGCAAAGAGGCTCCCAGCCCACCAGAGGTCCGAGTTGGAAGGGAAGCTGGGTTTGCCCTGCCCTGGGACACCAACACGTCAATGTCACTCACCCAAGCAGCCCCCAGTTTCTCCTAGACAAGGTGGCAGAAGTTGAAAGTTGTAGGAGTCCCCCACCTCTGCACACACACACACACACACACACACACACACACACACACACACACTCCACACTCCAGAAAATACTGCTCCTCCTTTCAAAGTTCATAAAGACCCTTGATGAAAAGTGCAGTCTGACCCATAAAACCTGGAAATAGATCCCACTTGATAGCTAGAAGCAAATTCAGAGTTGATATTCTGGGGACAGGACCCAGGTTGGCAGCTGGACAGAGTTGGGGCTCTCAAGGAAGGGCAAAGGAGAAAGAGGCCAGAGGGGGCACTTGGAGTTGCCGAAAAACTGCCCCCCAAACACTTCAGAGGCCTGAGCTGAGTGGGGCATCCTCAGAACTAGAAGGTCCAGAGGCTAGGCTGTGGCTAC